TGGTCATTTGTCTTCCCGCTACACTATAACCAAGATTAAATTTAGCCTATGGGTGAGCTAATTGTGCTTTAACGTTTTTGAAGATTATATCAGTCTAACAATACGGAATGTTTGATATTTTTCTGTCCCCAGCTTAGGTTACAAATAATTATCAGAGATTTGTTAGCCTTAAAAACTTTCAATAATGCCCCATTGCAATTGGCCAAGACAAAGTTTGTGGCAAAATTTCTCGATTTTATTAATAAACAAATAAGATAGCGGTTAATGCGTAATTTCCTCTTTATTAGTCCTTTAATCAGAAGAGAATCACATCAATTTTTACAGCAGATTATAAATAAACAATAAAACTTGAAGAATTTTGAGGCTTCATTCCAGTTTAGTATAAAATTTTGAGTAATTATATATTACATTGATATTGTATTACCTTTTATTTCGTTTGAAGAGGCAAATGAGAGGTATTCGTAAGATGGCCTCATCGGAAGCTGTAGGGAGGATGCCTGGGAGCTCCAACATCAATCTACCAAGAGATTCTTCTAAACGCAGTTTTTTATAGATTTTATATATTATACTTTGTGGTACACTTTATTAAAATATTTCAAGTAAGACGTGAATTCTATAGAAACGAAGAGAAACTGTGCTTTGATGAATATTCTAAGATAATAAAGTTGCGGACACTTTCATTTTGTAGGAAAGTGCACAAGGAAGAGTTTCGAAGTTCGATCTCACCAAAAAAGAAGGCTGATTCCAGTTGAACTTAAGCTATCTACTTTGATACAATGTTAAGGTTGACGCAGTCCGCGAGACATCCTCCTTTATTTCGGGCCAAGACAGACTGATCTATCGTACATCATACGATAGACATTATCAAAACTTGATCTAGTGTTAACGTGAGACTTTTAAAAGACTTAGTTTCAGCTCTGATGTCCGTCATACGATGAGCGAAATGGAGGATGTCTTCATGACTGCGTCAACCTGAATGGCATATTAATCGAAACGGCTGCAGTAAAATGAAAATCAGCCATTAATTTCTGCTGGTATAGAACTTATAATCTTGCTTTCATTCACTTCATATAAAATGCAAGTCTCACTAACATTGAATTATGTAGTTAAAAAAAATTCGTATAGTTTTACCTTTGTGTAATTCGGACGGAAACTAGTTCGTTCTTTCATACCTTCTTATTTCAATTTTGAATTACTCAAAAAAATTCCTTGCTAAAACTTTTGATTCTTTATTTCTAGGGCGTAATATGTTTCAAGATAGGAGCTTTAGCTGAATAGCCTCTCTGATTAAACTTCATAATCTCATGCCTACATTTAATGGTTTGAATATAATCATCAGTTTTAAATTGGCAATCGACGAATGAAGAATTTTTCTTGTCTAATATATTTGTTTCGGTGATAATATGGCTATAAATGGGAAAAAGGGATTTAATTTGGCCCATCTGATCAAAATATATGCATTTATCCACATTTAAAGTTAACCGTTTCCTTTGATTACTGGAACTAGTGCCCATTGCTCCTTACTTACAGATAGTTAAGCAAGTCTACCTATTTTTCTTTTGTTTGTCTTTCTGTTCATATACGATCCATCAACAGATGACAACTTTGAGTTATGAACAATAATTAATCCAATAAATTTAAAGAAAAACTAGGAATGATTTTTAATTAATTCTTTTATGAAACCCAAACGTACAAGGAAATTTGGGTCATCTCAGATAAATTAAAATGCCAAATTTATTATACTTAATAGATAAAATTAGCTAACCTGGTGATGGTTTTAACCTTCAAAGAAATCGAGTGATTTTAAGGCCACAAAGTTGTATGTTGACCCTTTCAAAAGAAAGAAATATCTATTCAAATAAAATAGACGTGAGTGCTATGGATGTGGACGGTTAAATCCTGTAAGAAAACAGGCTTAACACTAGAGATTTTGCCAAATATCCTAGTTTAAAAATGTTGTATGTCTATATACACTCTTCAGTTGTGAGAAGTGAAAACCAATAATTAGCAACGTTCAATTCCAATTTCATCATTTATCTACTCTAATAGGTCTTTACAGAGGCGAACCTTTCTTCATGATCAGGCCCTGGCTCTGCTTTATCATGGCTCTGACCTGCTTCATCTCATGCTCAGTATCTATTTTTACAATACTTGGTGTCGCCATCAACAGGTGGGTTTGCATAGCCAGACCTAGTCTGTACAACAGACTCTTCACACGAACGCGCACGATAGCCTGCTTGGCTGCAACTTGGCTTCTGGCGGCTGGTTTGGATTTGCCTAACCTTGTGGGTTGGGGTAACCATATCTATGACCGCAAGACTTTACTCTGCCTCTGGAACAGACTTGAGGATCTTCGCATAAACATCCTTCTTTTTATTGTCATTATAGTCACTCCAACAACAGCTACAGCCGTGTTCTATGCTCTTATTCTGAAGCATGTGAATGAGAGCTCCCGTCGGCTGAAGAGTCACACTCAGTCATCAACTGGTATGAATTGTGGACAGAGAATCTACAGACGCTTAAGGCTTAAGCTGTTCCGATCGGAAGCTCTGGAGGAGTCGGCCTCAATGACTAAATATTGGGCAAACGAGGAGGGTCGCTCCGAACAGGCTTCATTAACACATTTCGAAATGAATACAAATCAGGAAAATATGCAAGAAGGTATTCCACAAAAAGAAGAAAGTAATTCTGGCGCTAATGTTCTTCTGTTGCAAAGGCAGAGCAACCAGCGTCGTAATCAAATCCGCCTTGCCCTCACAATGTTCATCATTTATGCCACATTTGTCACTTGCTGGAGCGTTTACTCAATTTGTACCGTCTTTGATCTTTTTGATACATTTCCAATGGAGCTGCATGCATTCGGTCTTACACTTGGTCATTTCAATAGTTGCTTAAACCCATGGCTATATGGTCTGCTGAACAAGGGGTTCAGGAAGGCATACCAAAAGATATTAAGCAATCTGTTGCGCAGAGATAAGGGTTCTAACACCAACAGCAGCTCTCGACTTATGAATGCGCCAAAAAGCTCATTGGCTTCAGGTTAAAATATGTAGACATGAACGTATTGAAATAGTCTCTCAGTTAATATAATCAACTATAATTTAGTATTATGTGGTTTGCTCAGCGATATTTATGTCTTTATATGGAGAAAAATCATTCAAACTTAATAATTCACGCCTAAAATTTGCATATATGTCTATATATGTTTGTAAGTAATCATCATGGAGATTGTTAATTGCCCATATAAATGTCTTATCACTTTAGTATAAGTGATTGATCAAAACAATCTTTTAATGGCTTCATTTTAGATTTATTTTGTCTTATTATTTTTGTTTTTATACATTATTCCAAAGCGGATTTTTAACTAAAGAGATGATAACTCATTCTTCAGAATACAATTATTTGGGCGCTTTGGCAGGTCCACAAATCATGAACAATCTGAGGACCTTCAGACGACCTACGCATGATGTTTGGATACTAAAACTTTTGCACACTCGTTTGATAAGACTTAGGCACTTTTAAACCATAAGCATGATCTTCCCTTTAGTGGGTATTTGTACCCTTGCTCACATATTCTGCTAGTTAGATTTCTTTTCATGAAATATGAACAATCTGTTGAAGAATTCTTCCCATTATACTTACGAATGTGACCAATCATATTAGTTAATTGTTGTATCATTATAGTTCAATCTTTTCAATTTCACAATCCTCTAATTTGCTGTTTCACGAATATAAGATAGAAACACTTCATTTATTTTAAAAAATCTGCTTTCCTTTTAATAGATTACTAAATTCATAAGGCAAGGGGTTATGTTGGATATAAGAATACATGTGTTACCAAGTAGATATCTCCCTTCCAGCTTGCAGTTATTTTAATGAAGGAATTGGTAAAATAGCAAACCGAGGAAGAAGTTCCAATGGCGTTTATTTTTGAAACCACAATGTAATAGTATATTCAATTCTGCCTACCTAAAATAAACATTGTTAAATGAGGGCAAATTTCACAGTAAAAATGAAATCTGAAGATTCTAATGTATGGAAAATAGAAATATTTCTACCCCAACTTTATCATAACTTAGAGTTACTCTATTCATAGACCAAAATATCTATTTTTAAACAAAAAAAACTGAATGTAAATAAAAGTAGTTGCTATGATCAGGTTGATCAACCTAGTACAAAACTCCCACATAATTAACCCCATATTGCGAATATCTTCATCTCCTTTTAATAATGTCTCTAATGCCGTGAGCTCTTCATATTTGTGCCATTCTCTTAAGCCTCATTCAATTGATTATTTGAAAAAGGTAATGGTTTTTTGATAATCTGACATCTAGTCTACTTGGTGTAAACATAATGCAATTATTTAGACGTGCATGTAAGGCAATTATGATTCAATCATGCCACCTGACTTATTTACACGGCTATAAATGTTATGATTTAACTCCTCGAATCTGTGATCTTTAGAGACACTACCATTTTGAAGCGGTTAAGGCTATTCCTAACCAGACTCACATTCAGAAGTTAAATAAACTTCTGGAATGAATAGAAATAAGTCATTTAGGTTTATAGATATTAAGCCAAAGCTCAAGCGTGATCTAGCCAGGATACTGGCTCCTGAAGATTTTCAAAAACTCAAGATTGTGCTGTAAAGAACTCACGAAGGATCTCTGATTTAATAACAAAGAGACATGACGATAACTTACTTAAGTATGGGATTATAAGACTGCATAAATTAGTGTCCGAGGTTTTTCGAGTTGATGATACGTACGGATCAGTATGTCTATCAAAATAAGGTAGTTCCCTTATTCTCGCTTCCTGTTGATCCCGAAGCCGCTACGATCTGGAAGTAGGGACGGAATCTTTTTCCTCAAAATGACAGAAACGTTCTATAAGATATCCCGGTGGAGGCCATCAGTATCTCCAGCAAGTTAAGTGAAGAGAGAAAACATTAAATAAAGCTGGAACTACTCCCAGGAATCTTGACAGATCATGAACCAACAAACAGGAACAGATCCGCGAGGATTCTAGGCCTTCTACATACGAATAAACAATTAGCTCTTTATGACCATTTATCGTGTAAAAAATAAGGACCCAACCACTAAGGGCAATATAGCATTACGTGACATGATGAAAATTATGCATAGGATCGGCGAGATTGACGAATGGGTGATAAATTCACTTTTGAGTAAGGATACACGACTAACTACAGCCTATAGATTACTGAAGCTACGCAAAGTAGAGGAATCGCTAAGGCTGCATCAGCAACAAAAATGTAGCAACACACAAAATGGCTGATTTTATTTACTTGATAGTTAAGAAGTTAAACAATGGATTATCAAACATAGTGAAATATTCATTTAATTTTTTAAAAAAGACAAACAGGCAAACAAATTCAAGGATCAGAATTAAAGTTAGGTTTTGATTTATATCGTGTTTATACAAGCATCTCTTGCTAAAGGGAGCTGATTTTCATACAGGAAAGCTTGGACCTAGAAGGATAGAGGATCAAGACGAATTCCTTAATACGACTAAGCAACTTGACAATAAGGACTGCCTACTTAGTATTCAGCATCTATGACTAAATATTTGGACTTCCTATGGGACCAATGTTCACACAGTGCAAGTAGAAAAGGAGGAGGGTTTATTTATCTAACATGTCCAAGTCATTTGCTCAGATATAACACTCAAGAGAAGATTGTTAAGAAAAAAGTAAAATGCCAGAATAATACTCAATTCCTAGTCTCATCATAATTATAAACTAAAGATGGAATAATAGGGAGCATAATCATCAGATGCTTACGATCAACGGTGATATAATTCTGGGAAAGTAAGAATTAGACAAATTTACTAGGATATAACACGACAATGCATACATAATTTTAAGTAATATAAAGAAAGATGCAGGTTGCAAAATTTGATTGCAGAATGGGGATAATGAAGGAAGAATAAGAATGTTCAAGAATACAAAAGAGTGTATATGCCTACCATATTGCGAATCAATTCTAAAACTATGACCAATATTAAGAAAATAGAATATTCAGGTGAATACGAAGGAAAAAATGACACTTCACAAATTTTCCCAAGCAATATGAGAGGTTAGACAAAGTGGATTGCTTGAGAGTTTTAAGCATAACATGGGGCATCTGCGAATCTAAAACTGATTGCCGAAACAGAGTGAAAAATACAAATACAAATCAAGGAACATCAAAGGACCTGTAGACAATGGATGCTGAAAGATTAGAAATAGTGAACACATTGCACAGACGGTAAACGAGATCAATTAGAAGGAAATATACGAAGGTCTTCATATGGTGGAAGCCCAAATAAACCAGAGATTATGGAGACCATTAACATCCTTGAGGAAAGAAATTTACTCTACATGAGATCGGACAAAGGCAGAATTAACTATAACTTTGGATCTAGGAACTATCGACATTCAGTGGAAATGGGATCGTAAGGAAGAACTGGGTTAAGAAGATTCAGGAATCAGGAAAAAACATTTTAATGAGTGTAGTCTTGTCGAGGAAACAACTACCACTTTTTGAGTCTGTCGATTACAGAAGCAGGGATAATCACAACCGTCATAGGAATTTGGCATTATGGCTAGTAGATCGGAGCCAAAGAGACTTGAAATCCCCTCGAGATGCAGCGAGATACTAGAAAAATACTTTCTCAGCTTGCTCAGGCTACATGGATTGAATCAGGAAGATGAGCTGTTCAGACAGTACCTGATACTTGCAAGCATGGTAATCGGAGCCTTGGCTCCCTGGTCGATGAGGCTGCTGTACACATGCTACCTAGGGCTTATGGGAAATATCGCTTTTGTTAGAAGGTCTGCTGTGATTAAAACCGAATGAAATAAATTAACTAGTAACATAAAAACAAATCTCCTGGGACATGAGGTGGATTGGGATAAGGGGTATGAATGACATGAGTTATTTTTGCAAATCAAGATGAAGAGGGACAGGGTAAGCAATCCGATGTGCTAATAGCCTAGTAAACTTGCCAAAAAGAGCACATCTCTAAGGGCATCGAATATAAACAAATCAGCAGTTATGATAATGAGAGAAATGAAAACTAGAAGTACTGCTTTAACAATTGTTTGGCAGACAGTTTTTTAAGGGAGAGACTTCGCTTGTTTCGTGTGCGAGTTGTAGGTTAGTGCTAAGACTGGCAAGAATTATTTACCATGCCGAATACGAAATCAACGAAACGGCTGGGGATGTACTAAGTCCGAGGTTCAAAGCAGGGAATCATCTCAACTACCATTTCAGAGGGCTTCAGACAAGTGCATTTAATTAGATCGTCCTGACAGCACTACCAAGTTGCGAAAATGAAGTCCAACCACTTTCCAATTTGAAATCGAGATAGAGTCTTTTGCCTGGCATCTTTTTGTAATCGTGCACAATCTCTCAGATTATTCAGTAGTGCGTGACCTTCAATTTGGCGTTCTCTTTTAGCACTTCCTGAGTAGCCCTCTGCCTAATTGAATATTTCATTTTCTGCATTTACTCAAAGGCTCTTCAGGTGGCAAAGTGTTTGGGAGAATTTATTGGTATATTTGTCAATTACATTTAGAAGACATTTAAAACCTCCGTTAAAATGTCTTCCTTTGCCCTGAAATTGGCGTACCTTTAAATTCGTTTAAAATGCGAGTGGAGGGGAATCGTAGATTTCACTCATTGTACACGGAAGGGGAATACCTTGGGGTATTGGCTACTGGATCGTCCTACTGCCCCGATAAATCCGTGCGGAAATTTTGTGTCATGTGTTAGTCAGGAAGCATCTTCTACCTAAATATTTACCATAAATGCCTAAAAATAAGAGAGGGAATATGGGAGTATAATTTGAATTGCAAGCTGAGGAGAAGGCGAACAAAATCATCCGTTAATTTTCCTAACTATTGTTCATCCTTCTTGAACCATTCAGGGCCAATCTGCAAATGGTTGGTCAGTTGGGAACTCTAATAATTTCCAAATTTACTAATATTTTTTTATTTACTAAAATAAAAAGTCATGATCATGAACGGATAAATGCTGCCAAC